GGCCAAGGGCGCCCCGCCGCCCGCGCCCGCCGCCTCGGCGCAGAACCTGGCGCACCCGCCGGAGGTGGTGCTCACCGACTTCCAGACCCGCGACGGCGACCAGTACAACCCGGTGAAGCAGCAGCTGGAGCGCTACGCCACCAGCCGCTACAGCTGTTGCCCGCAGCTGTCGTCCGTCCTGCTGTGCCCCGACCGCGGGACCGGAGAGCTGCCCGTGGAGCCCCTGGGCGTCCCCCCGCCCTGCACCATCAGGCCCGCGTCCCCCGCGCCCCGGTCCCCGAAGCAGCCCGTGCGGGGCTACCGCCGCGGGGCCGTGGGCGGCACCTTCGACCGACTGCACAGCGCGCACAAGGTGCTGCTCAGCGTCGCCTGCGTGCTGGCCCAGGAGCAGCTTGTGGTGGGAGTGGCGGACAAGGACCTGCTGAAGAGTGAGTGACAGGGGCCGCCCCATGTTCTCGCGGGGTGGAGGACGGCCGCCCGCCGCCCCCGTTGCCAGCTGTCCCCGTGTTTGACCCTTGGCTGGCGCCAGGCAGAGCCGCCCCGCGCGCCCCGGGAGTCTGGACTTGGACCTCACGCGGGTCACCGGCTCTTGAGAGGCTGGGTCCACGAACGTGAGAGTCAAAGGAGCAGTGCCTCAGTGGGGGGACTCGACGCTGCGGCACACACTGGCCCTGGCAGGTCTCTGGTGTGACTGCATGGTGGCTTGTGCTCGGAACACGGTGCTTGTCCATTTCCTCTGTCGCCACCCAAACCTTCCTGTCATTTCTCTTTTGCCTTTGGCCGGGGTCCCCAAGCAGCCTGTGCGTGGCTACCTCTGTGGGTGGCTCCTCTGACCACCTGCACTGGCCCAGCAGGCGCTGCTCAGTGTCGTGTGTCATTCTCTCTGCGGGGACACCTGTGCACAGGATACTGAGTCCCCGTAAAAAGACCTCACTGTGCTTCTGCGCTCCTCCGCCAGGCAAGGTGCTCCCTGAGCTGCTCCAACCGTATGCAGACCGTGTGGAACACCTGAGTGAGTTCCTGGTGGACGTCAAGCCCTCCTTGACTTTTGATATCGTCCCCCTGCTGGACCCCTATGGGCCTGCGGGCTCTGACCCCTTGCTGCAGTTCCTGGTGGTCAGCGAGGAGACCTACCGTGGGGGGATGGCCGTCAACCGCCTCCGCCTGGAGCATGTAACCCCTGTGGGAGATGGGCGGGGAGCGGGCGGCGAGGAGGCATCGCGGGCGCAGGGCGGGGGGAAGAGACCAGGAGGGCTGGAGCCCGGGGCAGGCTGGGGGTCTGGGTTTATCCTCCCCTCGTCCCACCCTTCCTCCTTTCCCGCAGGGCTTGGAGGAGCTGGCCTTGTACCAGATTGAGCTGCTGAAGGACCCAAGTCACCAGGAAAATGAAGAAGACAAAGTCAGCTCCTCAAGCTTGCGCCAGCGAATGCTGGGTACCCTGCTGCGGCCCCCGAATGTAAGCCTCCTACTCAGGCCTGGCGTGCTGGGAAGGAGCGAGCGAGGGCTTCGGCCCCCAGGGTGAGCCAAGGTCCCCATCTTCTACCCGCAGAAGAGGCCAGAGCTCCCGGCCGGCCTCTATGTGCTCGGGCTGACGGGCATCAGCGGCTCCGGGAAGAGCTCTATCGCCGGGAGGCTGAGAAGCCTGGGGGCGTTTGTCATCGACGGTGACCAGCTGGGCCATCGGGCCTATGCGCCGGGCGGCCCCGCCTACCAGCCAGTGGTGGAGGCCTTCGGAACAGGTTAGGACCGGGAAGCCTGCGGGTGGTCTGAGGCCAGAAGATAGCTGTGCCTTGGCTCAGTCCCCCTCCCGTGTCGGCCAGACATTCTCCATAAGGACGGCCTCATCAACAGGAAGGTCCTGGGCAGCCGGGTGTTCGGGAACAAGGTGAGTGCGCTGCGCTGCTCCGCTCCGCCGACCCCTCAGCCTCGCCCTCGCCCTCGCCCTCGCCTGCCTCCGGGGCTGGCCCTGGTGCTCAGGGAAGTAACCTCTGCCCGCTCCCTCCGTCCCTCAGAAGCAGCTGAAGGTCCTCACAGACATCATGTGGCCAGTGATGGCCACGCTGGCACGAGAGGAGATGGACCAGGCTGTAGCGCAGGGTGAGCGGCGGGTGGGGCCGCCTTCCCTGGGGCTGGGATGCGGGAGGCTGCTGGCCTGACCGGGTGCCCCTGCAGGGAAGACGGTGTGCGTCATCGACGCCGCCATGCTGCTGCAAGCCGGCTGGCAGGACATGGTGCACGAGGTGTGGACTGTGGTCATCCCCGAGACCGAGGTTCGTGCGCGCACGCTGCCCCTGGGAAGGACACGCTCAGATCCTGAGGTGGAGCCGGGGCCCTCTGACCCCCGCCTGTCTGTGCCCAGGCTGTGCGGCGCATCGTGGAGAGGGACGGGCTGAGTGAAGCTGCCGCCTACAGCCGGCTGCAGAGCCAGATGAGCGGGCAGCAGCTGGTGGACCAGAGCCACGTGGTGCTGAGCACCCTGTGGGCGCCACATGTCACCCAGCAGCAGGTCGGTCCCGAGGAGGGGCTGCGGCCGTGCGGGGCGGCGGGGCGGGCCGCGCCCTGACCCTGTGCTTCCTCCCTCCCACATCGGGCCGCCTGAAGGTGGAACGAGCCTGGGATCTCCTGCAGAAGCGCCTCCCCGAGACCCTTCGTGCCCGGGACTGACCGTGCGACTTCGGGGCCCGCGGTGGCCCCTGCGTGGACGGGAGCCCGTGCGGAGGAGGGCGCGCCCCGGGCTGGCTCTCAGGTCGCGCTGTGCGGGACACAGCGCCTGGGGTGCAGGGGCGGCGCCCTCCGCGCTGGGGGCCAGCGTGAGGCCGCGGGCGGGGCGCACGTCTGCGCTCCAGGGGCCCTGCGTGTGCGGCCCGCGGGGCGGGTCAGGGAGGCCCTGGGGCGCGGTACGCAATTAAAGGTAGATGTGCACTGGTGCCGCCTTCGGTGTCTGCTTCCGCCCGGCTCGGGACTCCCGGGGTGCCGCACCCCAGTCGGGGGCAGTGGTTGGGAGGCTGCCGGAAGTCGTCCCGGGCCTCCCTGCTTCCGCCGCAGTGTTTACGCGGGCCGTTTCTCGTCTGGGGATGGAGCCAGGGCCTTGCACCCGCCGCAGCCCTGACCTAGGGTAGGACCTCCCCTCCGAGCCGTCCGGCCCCGCCCCCCAAGGCGCGCATGCTCGTTGCTCGCCCCAGCCCGGGCTCGCGGATTGGCCGGCTCGGGTCAGGTGGGCGCCTCGCCTCTTCCCGGCTGTGGGTCCCGCGCGCCCTGACTTCCGGTCCGGTGGGGTCGGTCCGCGATGACGGAGCCGGGCGCGTCTCCGGAGGACCCTTGGGTCAAGGCAAGCCCCCGGGGGCGCGCACTTCCGCCAGGGGAGGGCGGGGCGGGCTCGTGCTCGCGGGGTTCCTACGACGAGCGGCTCCCTCCCAGTCCCCCGCGTTCCCCTTGCCGTCCGGGTCGTGGGGCTGCAGAGAAGTCCGCTGCCCACCCCGCGCGCGCCCAGGTGTGGGCGGGAACGGGGCGGGGCTCACGACCCGCGGGCCGGGCTCCGGGCGCCGGGGGTGCGCGGCCTGACGGCGCCCCCTCGCCCGTGCGCAGGTGGAGTGCGCCTACAGCGACACCAGCCTGGACCCCGGTGAGTGCCCGCCGCGCGACAGGGCGGCGCCGGGTCCCCCCGATCGCCCAGAACGGAAGCACCTGGTCCCTCCCTCCACGCGGGTGCCCCTTCGTGCGCGACAGGGCTTGACTGCAGGCCAGGAAGCAGAGTGGACGCTGGGGACAAGGGCACTGGAGCGCACTGTGGAGGAAGTGGGGGGAAGCTGTCGCCCGGAGTGCCAGGGTGCGCAGGATCCCCGCCGTCCCCTTAGCGATCGCGCCTCTCTTCCAGGGCTTTTTGTAGAAAGCGCCCGCAAGGGGAGCGTGGTGTCCAGGGCTAATAGCATCGGTTCCACCAGCGCCTCTTCTGTCCCCAACACAGGTAGGCTTGCCCAGCTGCAGGCTTGAACGAGGGGCTCGCGCTTTAATGTCCTTCCCAGCAAGGAACTTCTTGTCCACTTGCGGTGTCAGAGCCCGAGGCCAGACACAGCTCCACCTCCCTCGGGTGTCAGGTTCTACCCCTTTCCTCCTGTGCCGGGCTCCTCTGCGCAGGGACAGGGGAGCTCTGGAGCGAGCCCTTCTGGGCCCCACTGTGACCTCCCCCACGCCCACTCTGCGAATAGATGACGAAGACAGCGATTACCAGCAGGAGTCCTACAAGGAGTCCTACAAGGATCGACGTCGTCGAGCACACACCCAGGCCGAGCAGAAGCGCAGAGATGCCATCAAGGTGACAGGGAGGCCCTGGCCCGGTTGGAGTCCCTTTGCCCTGGGGGACGGCTGTTCTCTGTCCCTGGGTGCACGCAGCTCCTTCCTTGGTCCCCCACCTGAGGGCCCCTCTGTCTGCAGAGAGGATACGATGACCTTCAGACTATCGTCCCCACCTGTCAGCAGCAGGACTTCTCCATCGGCTCCCAGAAGCTCAGCAAGGCCATCGTCCTGCAGAAGAGTATGGCAGGGGGGCAGGGCCAGGCCCTGGAGGGGGGGCAGCTCTGCCACTGGCTTCTTGGTTGACACCTCTGTGCCCGCCCCAGCCATCGACTACATCCAGTTTCTGCACAAGGAGAAGAAGAAGCAGGAGGAGGAGGTGTCCACGCTCCGTAAGGATGTCACAGCCCTGAAGATCATGAAAGTGTAAGAGGGTGACCCAGGGGACAGCCACTGCGGCGCACAGCTTCCCCGTTCAAAGATCAGATCAGATAAGGCCCAGGTGACACTCAGGCTCCACAGCAGTGCTCAGGAAGTGCCAGCAAGCTGTCGCCTGTGTCCTCCGGCTCTGGGGGCAGCATGGGGAGCCCTGGCATGCCCTGGCGACTGAGCCTCACCTTGCTTTCAGGAATTATGAGCAGATCGTCAAGGCGCACCGTGACAACCCGCACGAGGGCAAGGACCAGGTCTCCGACCAGGTCAAGTTCAACGTGTTCCAGGGCATCATGGACTCCCTGTTCCAGTCCTTCAACGCCTCCATCTCGGTGGCCAGCTTCCAGGAGCTGTCGGCCTGCGTCTTCAGCTGGATCGAGGAGCACTGCAAGCCCCAGGTGCGGCCAGCCCGTGGGGGGCACCGGTCTGCTCCTGCTTGGTGGCTGCCTGGTGTGGAAGCACTGGGTGCCAGCAGCTTGGAGTGTGCGGCTCGTGGGGTCGCCCAGCTGCTAGAGTAGCTGTCCCCGGAGCTTTGCACCAGCTGCTGCTGCTGCTGCTTTGGTGTTTGGTCTTCTGCTTTTGAGACCTAGCTGCCTTTTCTCAGGCTTGAACTTGAAATTCCTGTTTCTTGGGTCTTGGTTTGCTTTTGTAGTACTAGGGGTAGAACCCAAGCCTGCTGCACCGATCTGCAGCCTCAGTCCTTTTCAGATGTGACTTCACTAAACTGTCTAAGCTGGGCTTGAATTTATGACCTTCCTGTCTCAGCCTCCCAGGAGTGCTAGGATTATAGGTGTGCACTACCGTGCCCAACTTTTCAACATTTTTGTTTATTTTTTTTTGAGGTCGCCTGGCTGTGTTCAGATTGACCTGACTCACAGCGATCCTCCTGCTTTAGCCTCCCCAGTGCAGGGATCACAGGTGCATACCACCACACACACCCAGCCACTTTTTTTTGCAGGGGTGGTTCTTCCGGTACCAGGAGTTGAACTCAGACCTTGTACTGTCAAGCAGGCGCTGTGCTGCTGAGCTAAACCCCTAGCCCCCCAGCCGCTTTTTTTTTCAGTACCAGGAATCAAACTCATGACCTTGTGCTTGCCAAACAGGCGCTGGGCCACTGAGCTATATCCCTGGCCCCCTGGCCACTTTTAAGTTAAACATAGTGTCACTGAGAATTTGAAGGTGAGCAACTATAGCCACTGCCTCAATTCTACTACTAGTGCTTTATTGTGTTTGCTTTATTTTCACCTAAGCTGTTGGCCCCTCCTAGGGCCGCCCAGGGCAGGGCCGTGCCTAGCCAGCTGCCTGGCCTCCTGCCTGAGCACGTCTCCCTCTGTCTCCAGACGCTGCGCGACATCGTGCTGGGCGTCCTGCACCAGCTGAAGAACCAGCTGTACTGATGGTGTGGGCGCTGCAGAGCTTCGCTGCCTTCTGCCCACAGCCTCGCCAGCCAGAAGGGCTCCCTGGCGCTTGGTGGCCCGCGGCCTGGCAACCTGCACGGGGCGTGTGTTTCATGAACACTTCTGATTAATTTATTTTTCAACCATGCAGCCAGGCCCCTGTGCCCTCCCCGTAGGGAGCCCTGGCTCACCAAGCCTCAGGTTCCAGCCAGGACCCGGCCTGCTTTGGTGCTGGTGGGCTGGGGCTGGGGCTGGGTGTGGGCACTTGGGAGTGGCTGGGGGAGCTCACCAGGAAGGGAGCCGGCCGGGCCGGGGCCCCGCTGTGGAGTGGGTACAGGCGCAGCCTCCCTGCCTGGTCTGCCCTCTCTACCCCCACCCTGCTGCCCCAAGACAGGTGGACACAGCGCTGCATATTGGAAATCTTATATTTTTAAACACCAACAACACAATTTTGCTAGTTACAACTTTGGAAAATTAACCGGCCTCCAGACTACCCCTCAGCCTTCCCTTCTCTTCCAGTGTGCTAGGGACTCCACACCTCCAGGGCCACCTGTCTGCCCTGGGCGCGGGGCGGAAGCCCTGGGTGGGTGCTGGGGACACCAACCTCACCGCCGAGGGCCCCAGCGCCCCCTGAAATCTGACTGCCTGCAAGAAAGTCAGTATTTTTGTATGAAAGTGAAATAAACATCACATGCGTTCCTTTAGCCTTGCTCCAAGCCTGCCAGTGACGCTCTCACAAACCATCACAGTGGGACTTAAGTCGGCCCTGCGGTCCCCATCCCGCCCAGCCCGCCCGCCCCCGCCCCGTGCCACTCAGCTCCAAGCCGGAGCAGCGGACAACTGGGAAGAGCTGGGGCAGCCACTGGTTCCCAGGGAGGCCCTCAGGGGTCCGGGGGCGCCACGTTATGATCCTCGTCTGTCTCGATGCCGACTTCCTCCTGTGGGCAGGTGGCAGTGAAGGTGCGGTGCCCATTGGGCACCCAGGGGATTGTGGGAGAGGGGGCCACTTACGAAGAACTGTTTCTTGCTCTTGGGGTAGCCTTCGAGGATCGCCTCGCACAGCTCAGTCGCCTGGCAGGGAACAGAGCCACACTTCACCTGGCTGAGCGGGGACCCCGCTCCCCAACACACACACGCCCCTGCGTCCCCGCGCTCACCATCCTCTTGCGCGTCCGCCACTCCCTGCAGAACCGCTGCCGCTCTCTGTGCACCTGCAGGGGCAGCGTGGCTCTGCTTGGAGGTCCCAGCCCCAGCCCCGGCCCCGGCCCGGCCCCGGCCCCGGCCCCGGCCCCAGCCCACCTGCTCCTTCTCCTCAGGGGTCACACGCTTGGGGGCGCCCTTGATGCCCCGCAGCCTCTCCGCGAAGCCAGCGCACTCAGCCTTCAGCTGCTCAATCTCACGCTGCATCTCTGGGGTGGTCAGGGCACTCGTGAGCTCCTTCAGCTCTGAAACAGCAGCCGGGTCACCCTGGGTCACCCCGGGTCACCTCGGCCCGCAGAGGGAAGGAGAGCACGTTCTGCTCGGGTCTGGGCAAGGAGGATGAAGTCAATTTTTTTCCAAGCCTCCATTTATGAGTGGTGGTAAGGCCCAGGGGACCTGGCATCCCTTGGGGACAGTGCCACGACCGCAGCCGGGAGGACGTGTGCAGCTGGCCTGCTGCTACACATTTCTTCTTTCTGGTACCACTTGGGAATGAACCAGAGCCTTCACACGCAGCCCCAGCTCATTTTTATTTTTTTGTCTTGGAACAGGGTCTCACTAAGTTGCCCAGGCGGGGCTCCTACTTGCACTTGTGATCCTCCTGCCTCAGCCTCCCAAAATGTAGGGACAACAGGCCCACACCACCACACCACGCAGTTCTTTGATAAAGTCTCAGGCAGCCCCCAAGAGGCTGCTGCAGTGACACCAGCAGGTGGGAAGCCAGTGCCTGAGCAACTCTTGACCCCAAGGAACCTGGCCCATGGGCGCCTCAGATACCATCCTACCAGCCTCCATGTGGCGGCAGCTCTGCTGCAGGCCCTGCACCTTCGCTGTGAGGGCCACGATCTTGGTGTCCAGGCTCTGGAGATCAGCATCACTCACAGTGTCAAACTGGTCCTGTCGGGGACAGGAAAAGCTGAGGGGGTGACGAGTGGCACAGGGCTGGGCACAGCTGGGAGGCAGGGATACCAACCAAAGGGCATCTCTGAGAGGCTGTTCTCTGCTTCCAAAGGGAAGGGAAAAGAGCCAGGTACAGCGGCACACGTCTGTCATCCCAGCTGTTTTGGAGGCTGAGGCAGGAGGACTAAAGCGTGAGCCCACCCTGGGCAACTTTTGAGACCATCTCAAAACAAAACCAAAGGCCGGGGCATGGCTCTGTAGCAGAGCGCTTGCCTGGCATGCACAGGCCCTGAGCTCCAGCCCCAGCTCCACACTTGCGCACACGCCCACAGGCACACAAGCAGGAACCCGGCGCCTGCCCTCTGAGCTTGCAGGTTGGCAGGATGCTGAGCGGGATGGCAACAGCCCACCACTTGCTGATAGCAACACCCAGCTTCCCTGTAGGAGCACAGCAACTCTCAGCCGGGGCGGGGAAGCCCAGACCTCAGGTTTGAGCAGCAGGAAGAGTGACAGGCGGCGGTGACAGGCTCAGCGTGGGTGGGGGTCTCCCAGGCAGGACCCTCGGGGTGGTGAGCACCTGGCAGCGGGCATCATGGTGGGCGAAGGGACAGAGTGTGGCATGGGTGTCCAGGCTGTACTTGAGCACTCGGGGGTTCAGAGCAGGGCCCAAGAGCCCAGCCTGTAGGGTAGGTGATTTCCCAGCCTTCTGTGTGGTCTGCAGAGGCTTTGGGGCGGTGCTGCGGGTGAGTCTTCCTGCCAGGCCCACATGGCCTCTGGGGCCAGCAATGTGGAGAGGCCCCTGACAGTGTGCTAGCCCCGTGGGAGCAGCGTAACAAAGCCTGTCGCAGGAAGGGGGCCTCCGAGGGGCTCTGGGTGTGAACAGTGTGGGGGGCCGAGTAAGCGAAGATGAGAAATGCAGTTTGCCCTTGAAAGCACTAGATTACTGAGGGACACAAGTAGAGTAAAGGACGAGCTGGGCGTGGTGGCGCACTCCTGTAATCCCAACACTCGGGAGGCTGAGGCAAGAGGATCACTGCGAGTTCCAGGCCTGCATTATGGGGCTACATAATGAGTTCACGGCCAGCATGAACTACACAGCAAGACCCTGCCTGAAAAGAAAGAAAAACAGATCGGGAATAAAGCGCAGTGGCACAGCGCCTGCCTGGCAAGCACAAGGTCCTAAGAGTTGGAGTCCCAGTACTAAAAACAAAAGAACACACAAAAAAAGAAAGAGAAACAAGCTCAGCAAGACTGAGTAGACACACGAGGTCAGTCCTAAGCGACCCCCGCTAGGGAGAGGAGCGGCGGGGCCAGCGCGGGGGCTGAGGCTCCGGCGTCGGGCTGGCGCAGGCGCCCTCTGGCGGAAGCGGGGCTGGCCCGGCTGGTGGGAAACCGGAGGACGCAGCTCAGGACGCGCTCCTTCCCGGGCGCCCCAGCTCTGCCCACGGTCGGGGCTCCGCACGCGCGGCGGTCGCGCGGTCCTCACCTGGTCGGCGAAATAGACCTTCTGCTTGCCGTAGGTCTTCTCTCGGATCTTGCCCTGCTGGGCCAGCTGCTCCAGCGCCTTCACCACCGCCTGCCAGGGGAGGGCGAGGCGGTCAGAGGCTGCACCCGCGACGGCTCGCGAGGGCTGGGGCCGCGGGGCGCGCAGGCCCGGTGCTCACCGCCTTGCCCAGCCCGTGTTCCCTCTGCAGGTTCCCGAACACGTCCTGGGCGCTGTAGGGCCTGTTCTGTTCCTGCAGGTACCGCAGGAGGATTCCGGGGGCTGCGGAGAGACGGGGTCGCTCGGCTGGCCTCCCTCCGCACCCCCGGGTCCCCGCCTCCCCCGCGGCCCCTCCCCCCGTTACCCCCCGCCGCAGCTTCCGCTCGGCCTTTACTCATGGCCGTTTCCCGCCGCCAAACTGAAAACCGGACGTCGTGGTTGCCCGGGACGACGGCTCCTTCCGGCAGTGGAGGGAGGGCCCCAAGCGGGGATTGGCTGGAGGGTAAGGCTTCCGGTAACTGGTTAGAGGGCAGGCCTTCCCGATGATTGGCTGGCGGGGACGTCGACCCTGAAGCTCTGCGGCCCCTGCCGGACGCCGTAGTTCCGTGCAGCCCCCTTTGCGCCTCCGGCGGGAGGAGCCCTGGGCGAAGGTTGCCGCGAGCAAAGCCTTGCAGCGTAGAGACCCAGCCAGCCTCGCCCAGCGGTCGTCACCCTCAGTGGAGCCTGGGGGCGGCTCCCGGCCGCCGGGCCACTTGCCTGCAAGGCTGCCTGGCCCCGCGGCCGTGCTCGCGTCGAGCCCGACCCGGGAGACGCGCAGGCTGCCACCTGCTGCCACCGAGCCGGGCGCGCAGGGGGCGCTCGGCACCGCAGTGGTTTCCGACCTGGCGAGGTGGGGCGGGGAGGGGCGCGTAGAGCCGCTGAGACTGGAAGGAGTGGAAGCCAGGTGCTTTCCACGCCTGACCACAGTGGCCAGGGCACAGACTGAAATAAGTATTTCTGAGTTTCTGAGGTCAGCTGAAAGCCGAAGAGCAGCTGTCCTTGCGGCCCAGAGAATCCAGTGTAAGGGCATGGTGCGCTCCCCCGGCAACGGAGATTTCACGTATATTAGCTGTGTAGCCCAGGCTGGCCTCGAACTCGCAGTCCCGCCTCAGCCTCCCGAGTAGTGGGATTACACTCGCGCGCCACCATCCCTGGAGAGCACGGTGCTTTCTAAAGTCTCTTCTAAAACCTCACGGGTCGCTGCGTGCTGAGGGGCCAATACTAAGAATAGAAACGGAAACTGCACCTGGCTGCCATCCAAGACGGACAGCCCCCTTCCTACGTGGGCGGCGACTGTTCGCCATCACCAGAGAAAGCCAGGTGCGACCCCAGCACTCGGACCAATCAGAACTCGGGCAAGCAGAAAGCGCCTGGCAAGGACGGACGCTGAGCATCGCTTAAAAGATTCTTCTCGGAGATTTATTCCCCAGCACCAACCCCACCCACCCGATTCACAGTGGAGGACGGGCTCGGCGGGCTCTCCAAGGACAGTAAGACCATCGAGGTGTTGCCCCGCTTCCCTCCCGCCGTGGCCGGAAGCTACACTCATGCAAACGCAAACCCCACTCTTTGCTCCCAGACCTCTCTCCTCCACATCGCAGCCCAGCTGTAAGACACCTCGTGCCCCAGGGCTGCTCCAAGTCTGTTGGAGACTTAGAGGGAACCTTCCCAGTGATGACCACGAACACCACCAGCTCTTTCCCCCGGGAGCCCCCATCTGTCCGCCAAAAGCAGACAGGTCAGCACACGACACCCGCGGCGCAGAATGGGGCTCCATCCAACGTCCCTTGCGGGGAAGTGGTCCCTGAGGATCAGCAAGGGTTGGGACAAGAGGAAAGGAAGTTTGGCTTGAGCTCTGCAGGCTGGGGCAAAGGCGAAAGGCTGGCCCAGGCTTGAACCCAGTGATCATCAGGGGTTTCATCACACGTGATCTGAGCAGAGCCCAAAGGCCAGAGCCCTCCAAGGCCTCTCTCCTGACTGGCAGTCCTGCCGGCGGCCTGTGCAGTGGGGAGCTGGCCAGGGTGTGAGCAGCTGTGGCCCTGGGATGCCTGTCAGAGCCGCCTGTAAAGTGCTACTGTGCCATCCCCCTGAAGCTCTCGCCTCCCCAGCAGGTGCTGGGAAGGGACAGGGACACAGGGATAGACACGGTATTGCTTGGCTCACTGTGCAGCCCAGGGGTGGGAGGAGCCAGGGTCAGCAGCACCAGAGAGGCCTCACTCCCACCCACCTGAGCCCTGCGGCTGAGGCGATATGGAAGATGCCTGTCTTCACCTCACCTGAACCTCGCTAGCAGGACTTTCAGGACCCTGGGATCTGCCCTGGGGCCCCAAGGACAGGTGAGAAGGGCGCAGGCCTGCTCTGCAGAACCAAGGGACAAGCCTGCTCTGGAAAAGCCACGCCATGGTCTCACAAAAGACAGGACAACTCCTGCTTGTCTGCCTGGCCTGGGGGCTCCTGAGGGTGGGCCCCGAGCACCCAGGCCACAAAGCAGACAGCAGCACCTCCACCCTGACCAGTTCCCCAAGGACTGTCCTGACTTCGGAGCACACACCCCTCACGGTGAAGAACAGGATCAGGTCCCGGAGAGCAGGGCCAGGCCTCTGTGTGTCAGCCAGGCGCCCCGCAGGAAAGTGTAATTCAGGGATGGGACCTGGGCTCTTCCCTTGCCCCACCTGCGGCAGCAGGGTCGGAGAAAAACCCCAAGCACAGTGACCCAAGGAAGAAGTCTGCCTCCTCAGTGGCTCCTGGAGCCAGCAGGGTCCAGCTGATTCAGCTCCGACTGGTCCAGGAGTTCAAAGTCGTCTCCCTCAGCGTCCGTGTCCAGGTCAGAGCTGGGGGCCCGCAGGAAGCCTCGGGCTGCTCTCCGGGATGAGGGGCCAGGAGGGCCTGACCGGGAGGCCCCCGACAAAGCCATTTGGATCACACCCTGGGAGACCAGGCTGGCAAGGTTGCTGGTGAGGTTGGACCCTGCAGGCAAGGCGCTGAGCAGGAGCTCGGGCAGCAAAGACTCATCCCGGCTGGCAGGGGGCACCTGGGAGGCCCCTGCCCCCAACGGGGGCCGTAACATCAGGCTGGGCACCCCGATGCTGGTGTCATCCTCGTCGTCCAGGCCAGCAGGGTCCACATTAATGGAAGGGAAGTCTGGGAGGTCCCTGGCGAAGGACTCCTCCGGGTCGCTGTGCCCATCTAGGTCTGGGAGGACACGGGCATCTGAGCCATGGCACCTCCAAAAGCCAACTCACATCACCTGTCTCTTCCTGCAAAGCCCGGGACTGTTTCTTCCCACTGCATCACAAGCAGCTGGGACCGTGCCCCCACCCCCACTGCGTCCCTGAGGCTGAGGCTGCTCAGGGACCAAGCTTCACCCCAGCACCCCCGCACCCCCGGTCCCCCGGCCGACTCAGCCCCGCCGCCTCACCCTCAGAGCCCTCTGTCAGGGGTGTCTGGCCCCTCGAGAGGTTGAAGGTGCCGTTGTCCGTACAGGAGACCTCGGCGTCAGAGTGCTCCGAGTCCGTGATGGCCAGTTCCCTGGCCACAGCAGAATCGTCCAGCTGGGAACAGAAAAGCCCACGTGTGCATGAGCAGCAGCAGGAGCCTCCTCGGACACAGTGTCCTCAGCACCCACAGTGAGGAGTCCCGGGAGCTCAGTTCGTGTGTGATGGGTGAGGGGACCGAGTGTGAGCGTGGAGCCGGTCGCCTGCTCAGCGTGATCTCGGCAGAGTCCCAGTGTGACACTAGCTGCTCTCCACGTCACCACCGTTGGGAGCAAGGGGGCAACTGGGGTCTCAGAGGGCCCACGTCGGCCTGAGAGCGGCACTGCCTACGTGGGAGCGCCCGACGGAAGGCAGGGTGAGGGAGAAGCTGGCAGGGCAGTGGCACAGGCGGATACCTGAGGACAGAAGGCGGAGAGCTCCTCCTCGCTGTCGCTGCGGTCGTCCCCAGCACGCTCCGGGTGTAGAGCTCTGCGGCGCACTGTGGGAAGACCCGGCGGCTGTGACGCCTTCCCCTGGGAGCACAGCCGCACAGGAGCCATCTCTCCCCAACATCCGCCCTCTCCTCATGTCCCCTGCTGTGCGCTGCTCACATGATCCACACTAAGGCTCAGCTGGGGCAGCCCGGAGTCTACACAGAGCAGGCGAATCAGGCTTCCCGGGGCTGATACCCTCAGCTGTCTGGCCCAGGAGAAGCCCGGCGGAAGAGGCACGGCTAACAAAATGGCCACCTGGAAGCCGCAGGGAGGCCGGGTGTGTGCTGCGGCCGCTCCTGGGAGGCCCAGAGCTCAGCCCGCACACGCGGCCTCCAAGGCTGCAGCGCAGGGATCCGCCCGAGCCGCCTCAGCTGGGCGCGGAGGCCACCCAAGGACTGCTTCTAAGGACTGTCACGGGTGAGATTCAGCGGTGTCTGCAGAGCAGCCGGCCCAGTGCCGCACACACGGAAGGGCTTCGTCACCCCCAGCTGACACTAAGGGACAAGTCTGATGCCTGCTTTCTCAGCTGTGCCGAGTTCTCCTCTGGCTGTGAGACTGGAGCCTGCGGCCCCCTCCCTGGTGGACACGCCCAGGACACTCACGCTGCCGCTCCCTCTGCCGGGACATCATGTAGCCACGCACACTGAAGTCCAGCCGCTGCAGAGCCGGCTCCAGCCGCACGTAGGCCCGGTCCCACAGGCGGTGGTACACGGTGAGGGGCCAGGTCAGCACGGTGACAACTGAGGGTGGGAGAGGGGATGTGACACAGAGAAGAGGCAGCGTGAGGACCCCTGCTCACCCCGACGGTGCCCTCAGGGCATGGGCCTTTGGCGCGGCTGTCCTGCCCAGCCCTGCGGCACGGGGACCCTGCGGGCCCAGGCTGCTGCATGCAGCGACCGTCCGCGCAGAGCCGGGCAGCGTGGTCAGTGCACGTGCGCAACTCCAGGCCACACCGTGTGGCTCTGACGTGTGACAGCCACAGCGGGACTACCCGGTTCCTGCTGCCTCCAAGGAAGGGAGTAAACTGACACGCATGTACTTGGGGAAGGGTGGGTGCTCCCAGAAAGCAGGACCTAGTAGAGGAACCCTCAAAATTCTGTTCTGAAGACCCCTCTGTAAATAGCGACAGGCAGTTCTGTGTGGGTGGGCACGCCGGGGGCGTCCGCGGACCCTTGAAAGTTCGTAGACCTGGCCGGGTGGGAATGGCCTTGGGCTGGGGTGCGGCTGTGCTACAGTGCTGGTGTGACGGTGTGAGGCCCAGGGAGCAACGCCAGCACCTCCCTACGGGTGAGAGACAGACTCCAGACAGAAGCCCGCTGCGGACGAGGATGTTTCCACGGCACCGAGCAGGTCACGGACTACGAGCAGGCCGCTTTCTGGAGGGCCCAGGTGGCACAGAGTTTGCTGGAAAAGCTAGGAGCAGCCGGACACAAAGCAGAGCCAGACTTACGGAGCAAGTAGGACAGCAGGAGCCCAGGGATGCATCGGCCCAAGACGGCCAGGAAGGTGAGGGCCCCGCAGCTCAGCAGGCAGAACTGGAAGGCAAAACGCGGCATTACTCCCGCGTGGCCGGGCCTGGCTGGAATGGGCTCCAAGGCCCCTCAGGGTGCCGCGGTCCAGCGCGGACGGGTCACAACGACAGACGTGCCGCTCCCACACCCACTGCGGTCAGGAGGAAGAGGCGGGGGCACCCTTCCACGTACGCCCCCTTCCGGGCTGGCCCTGCGTGGCTGTACCTCTGTGCCAGGAAACTGGTACGAACAGGACTCAGCCCAAGTCACTGTGAAAGCAAGCACTGGCCGTGGAGATTTTAAGAAAACAAAACCAGTAAAATCCAACCACCTGCCCCAGTTTAACACAGCACAGAACGCACACAGGCGGCCGGCACAGCGCAGGTGGGGCACCCGCCCGGCCGGAAGGCTGGGCTGCCCCGGCCTGCAGAGGAGCTAAGGCCAGGTCTGCCTGAAGCCGCGCCGGTACCGCACTAGGCCCGGGCCGAGCTGAGCGGCCGCCCGCAATCCCCACAGACGGGCTGTCCCGCCTTTCCTCACTGAGGGGGAGCAGGCAAGGCTCTGTTTTGATGCCACATGCTGAACCAGGGGGCCAGAGATGCCCGTGAAAGGGAGACTCTTACCTTGCCTGGGTTCTGCTTTTTGAAAAGCAAAAGACTCCTTATGAAAATGGTCCCACTAACCCAGGCTTCAGCTACGTGATGGCAGAGCTCGGGCACGCTGAGCAGCCGAGGGTGCACAAAGCCCCAGCTGCGGGAGAGAGAAGGGCACTCGTGAGCAGGGTGCCTGACGGACGCCGCTTCCGGGTTTGGCCGGAGGCTGGCGCGTGGCTGGTCCGGTGCTTCAGAGGTGAGGTGTGGCTTTCTTCTTGGCTCACAGGGTGAGACCTGCACTTCGGGACTGGGAGGGCAGGTGTGCTCCCACGGCTCTGCCCGGTGAGCACGCAGCTGCGGGTCTGCGTGGGAAAATCCGACCCCGCCACCTTCCCGCGCACCAACCGCTGCAGCTCACAGGGATCGCAGGATAAAAGGGAAGCGGCTTCTCCCTGAGGGGCGCCGCAGGCGGCTGTGCGCCTCAGAGAGGACAGCACAAAGCACAGCGCGCGAGCCTGAGCACAGCAAACCCCAGCAACGGGTGGTGAACTGAGAAGCCAATGCAGGCGGGAGCGGCGGACACAGGGGAATCTCTGGCCCTGGCTTCTCACACCAGGAACCAACGTGTTTTCTGCCAGGAGCTGTAGACAGCCAGAGAGCACAGAAAACGCTGAGCGCCAGTATAAAAGCCAGGAGGCACAGCAAGTTAGGTGCCCTGAGTTCTTACGCAAGGGCCGAAAAACGCAGCCCGAACCAGGCACACCAGGCTCCGAGCAATGCACACTGCTTTCTGAGAAGCTTCTAGTATGCAGATCAGAGGACAAAGCCCGTCTCCACACACACCACTGCCTCGACCTTGGCATTTGTGGGAATGACTGCTTGGAAGAGGACAGGTTCTCAGCTCACACCTGGACAGGTGTGTCCAGAGCGTGGGGCCAACAACATGTAAGCAGAGGATTGCAAGAGAATCAGAGCAACAAAAGGGATTTAATTAGCGTTCCATACCTCTCATTGTCTAATGCGTCGGGTCTTGGCACTACAATATTAAAACAAACACCAGCATTAGTTGGTAGGGAAAACAAAACATGAAAATGTTAGGCTGTTGGTCTGACAGCTCAGGTTTTAATAAGTTTGGGGGAAAGGAAACAGTAACAGCCAAGAAAAAGGAGACACCAGAGCCGGGCGTGGTGGTGCACGCCTGTGATCCCAGCACTCGGGAGGCTGAGGCAGGAGGATCGGTGCAAGTTCGAGACCAGCCTGAGCTGTAAAGTGAGCTCAAGGCCAGCCTGAACTGCATAGCGAGACCCTGTCTCAAAGAGACAAAAAAAAAATAAAGGAGACACCAGGGTGCATGCCAGAGTTGGGGTGCTGTGGCCGGGGAGCAGTGGCCATGCCCGCTCTTTGCTTGGGGTGGGCTTGTTTCCACATGGACTGCAGAGCCCCTGGAGCTCCTCAGCTGAAAGCCACGGGGCGCCCAAAAAATGGCCCATCCTGTCCTCAGGCTGTGTCTGGGCCATGCCGGGACCACTGCAGCCTGCAGAGCTGCTCCCTCTCTGCCCCCACGGGGGGAGGGCTCTCGCCTCGGGACAGGCAGAGGAGCCGCCTGGTCCTGCCGCGCTGGAAGGCACAATGGGCCTGTATTTAAAAGCTGCGTCCCCAGCTTGAACGGCTCACCAGCGCCTAGACACTGACACAGGCCGAACTATTTCCCACATGGACAGTGCTGCAGTCTCCCACCGGGTCCTCCCGCTTCGCTTCCCACGCTGCCCTACCACGTCATCCAGCACTGTCAGCTTGGCACACAGCTGACGTCTTAGCTCCAGTGACCACCCGCGCCTCCGGGAGGGGGCCGCACTTTCTAGCCTCACAAAATCTAATCCCACCAGACTTTCAGTGTACCTCCTAGCACCCCTTAATAAACCCCCTTTGTTTTCCTTCACAGTGCACATTGGTGACACAGAACTGGACACAGCACATCTCCGTCACTGTCGAGCACAGGGCCGTCCCCCCGTGAGCTCTGCACTCCCACCAGGTGCTCCAAGCTGTGGCTCCCTAAGCTGATCAAGCTGAGAAACCCGCTGCTCCCCACCCATTCTGCCTCACTCAGACTTGTGCCAGGACCAAAACACACAAATGTACCAGCCCGGGGACCCGCTGGGGCATCTCCGGGATTCTTCAGTAACTGTCATGTAACTTTTATTTGTGTGTAATTGCTTCTGAAAAAAGAAACCATATCTTGTCTTGTTTCGTTTTTGAGACAGGGTCTTGCTATGCAGTTCAGGCTGGCCTTGGGCTCACTTTTGTAGCCCAGGATGACCTCAAACTCACAAGGATCCTCCTGCCTCAGCCTCCCCAGTACTGGTATTACAGCTATGCATCACCACACCCAGCAAGAAACCATATCTTAGGGTAGTTTCCACAGTCATAATGCCTAGACTAGTAGTTTGCAAATAAGCAACTAAAAGGAAAAAAAAGTTTCTTTGTTTGTTTTTAAACCTTGAGATAGGGTCTTTCAATGTAGTTCAGGCTTGAACTCATTATGTAGCCCAGGCTGGCCTCAAACTCACAGCGGTCCTCCTGCCTCAGCCTCCCAAGCACTGGGATCACAGGTGTCCAAAAAACAATTTTTTTTTTAAGACAAGGTCTCACTATGTTGCCCAGGCTGGGCATTGACACAGCTGGACTACCGGCAAGGACAATGCCCAATGCCACACGCCCTCTGAGCCCCACAACTAAAAGCAAGAACGCCCAAAATGGCCAAATACTACCAAACTCACCTTTTATTTCAGGCCAGATTTTGTTCTTCCATTGATCAATACAGACAACGATCATCAAGCCGAATGCAAGCAAAAACACGAGGCGGAGGGAGGTCAGTGCGAAGAACCTGCGGAGAGCAGAGACACAGATCACGGCCAGGGCGCTGCGTTAAGGGGGTTCTGGTTTCGGGTTTCTCTGATCCGACACTGAGTAGTTAATACACTTTGGGTGGATCATGTAAACTCTCCGGACGCGAGCTCTCAACTGCGGACAGAGACGCTTGCTCAATAAGGCAGAGTGCAGGACCATCAAGTGCCCGCTCAGAGGCCTTTCCGGTCCATGCCTCTGTGCAGTGCGGCCAGCGCCCTTGAGAGTAAAGCGCTCCAACGCGCGAGAGCCGAGCACAGGCACCGAACACACAGACACTGCAGGGAGCCCTGATTCACCTCGGTGTCCCACTGCACAGGAAGTGAAACGGCCTGACGAGGGCCACAGAGAGCAGGCACGGAGGCTACAATCACGTTGCTTCTTCAGGATCGGTACCAGTGCTTGTCAAACCCTTCTAAACAACCGCAAAGACGGCACACCCCTTGCTTTGTGAGGCCGGCATTACGCAGAGATGGAATCAAGACTCAAGAAAACTCCAGAGCAAGACCCCTCAGAAATACAGATGCACAGCCTGCCTGGCAAGTGCAAGGTCGTGAGTTCGGTTCCCGGTACCGGAGAAAAACAAAAACAAAACAAAACAAAACAAAACAAAAAAAAAGAAATACAGATGCACAATGCCAACCATGGCGTTGAAATCTATGGTCCCAGCTACTAGGAAGGCTGAGGCAAGAGAATCACTTGAGCCAAGGAGTTCCAGGCCAGCCTGTACAATACGTAAGATTATCTTTTAACAAGACAGAGCAAACTGAATCCAAGAAGATACTAAAAAATTATACGCCATGACCAAGTGAGATTGAGATTGAGGCCGAGACCGCAAGGGTAACGCAACACACAGGAGCTGGAGCACGCCCGGCTCACAGCGGTGAGATGACCGACGGCTGGGCTACGCTCAGCGCGAAGCACTCGCTGCCCTCGCGTGCACGGGGCCTTCGGGCCGATCCTCAGCGCCCCAGAATAAGTACATACAAAATCAAGGAGGAGCTACTCCTCCTCAAGGACATCAACCCTAAAATGTCACATGTGAACAGGCTGGGCAGGGTAACGCCGACAGCGCAGCCCACGACAGTAAGAAATTACTCATCTTCAGGGGGAACATTAATAATGTTTCCAGGGTCACTATCTTTTTGAGATGCACAGTACGATGTAAAGAAATTAATAAAGTATGGGATTTGCTTCAAGATAATAGTTTGGGGCAAGAGGAAGGGTGCAAAATTATAGGAGATAAGACTGACCAGAAGGTGTCCGTCTGAAGCTGGGTGACAGGCATGTGGGTTTTTCATATTATTCTCCTCACCTTTGTTTAAAATGTTTAAAATGTAAAACAGCAAAAGAAAAAACCAGTTCTTGCACGCCTTCTGTGACACCATCCTGGACCAGCACTGGCCCACACTTATTCTAAGGGCCTGCAGCGAAGTGCAGAAATTCAAAGCAAGCATGTACAGATACTTAGAGCGGGCTGACCACGTAATTTTGAATCTACTGACACATATGAGCTGCATTTCCTACGTCTTTTTAAGTTTAACTTCTCTGGTAACTCATACTTCACAGCAGCACTGACTTACAGCAGGTAAGGGGGAAGCAAACCATTAGCCCTGCATCAAAGAGGGCCTGAGAGATGCTGCTCGAAGAGCCTGAGGGACACCAGAGGCCTCAGCACCACAAGGCGGGGCAGGAAGGCGGGCCTGGGAAGTTCTGCAATAAATTAGTTGCTTCCCCTGCAGCGTGAGGCTAACCGATCTCACAGCACTGTCTGTGGCTATTGCAATCAACACGCTTGACCACCTATAAAAGAGCACCCTGAGCTAGGCCACAGAGCTAAGAAGGAAATACCAGCTCGGCACCTGCTCAGCACAGAGCTCTGTTCAGCTTCATGGTGCAGAAGCGTCACAAACAGACTCACAGCAGCTGTGCAAAGGAGGGTGAGGGTGAGCCGGGGGTGCTTACAAAGGGTCACGGGATGACCACGACAAAGGCCTGATGGCCCGACACAACCACAGAACAATTCCCGGGCTGTAATTCTTATCATACCCTACAAAATAAAGAGCTTGCACAAGGTCCTGCGTTCAATCCCCAGCTCTGAAAAAAAAAGAAGTTTTTTAAATAAAAGCTTTACCCAGGTATTTATAGGAACATACACACACAGGCATTATTAGTGAAACTTTAAATTTCGTCTGAAGACATTTTTGTGCTCTTGGGCTTTTTTTGGTTTTGGAGACAGGGTCTCACTATATAGTTCAGGCTGGCTTCAAAACTGTGATCCTCAGCTCCAGCCTTGGGTATGAGCACAGTATAATTTTTTTTAAGTAAGAGTGCATGTTAGCTGTGTAAGTTTTTAAAAATAAGGCTTTAAATATGATATAAAAATGAGGGATGGCCAGGCGTGGTGGCGCACGCCTATAATCCCAGCACTCAGGAGGCTGAGAAAGGAGGATCGTTAGGAATTCAAGACCAGCCTGGGCTACAAAATCAGCTCAAGGCCAGCCTGAACTGCAGAGCAAGACCCTGTCTCCAAAAAAAGACCAAAAAAAAAAAAGAAAAAAAAAATGAGGGATGAAAGGAGAATCAGGAATCCAGTCATGAATGGCAACCCCATTCCAATTTTATCCACCCCCGCCACTTAAAGGGCACTATAATTATATTCTGGATTAAAGAATGAAAGCAGCTTAGCAGAAAAGGCCTCCAGAGCCACCCCGGGCCGTGAACCTTCCCTACAAAGGCCTGCATCAGCCCAGCCTAAGCACATTAACAAGCGGAGGGCTCTGATGCCAGCATCTGTCCAGAGGCCTGAGAGGGCCCCAGCGAGGGTCCCCGTGGATCGGATCTCCATTCTCCACTCCCCAAACAGGGTCAGCAAAGAGCCGAGCTGGCTTTCCAGGCTGGCAATGGAAACACTGTTGCTCCAAGGCCTTGGCCCTCTCTGTAGCAGGTAGAGCCTGGCCTTCCCGTCTCCTAAACCAGCTTAAACTCCACTCCGCAACCGGACCGAGGGAGGCGGCAGGAAGGAGTAAGACTGGAGCCTTGCTTGTGCGTGCATGCGCGCGCAACGTGAGCAGGTCAAAGCCCAGACGACGCTGGGCGGACTGGGTGCCCAGGAAAGATGGGGAGGAGCCCGCAGGGCCGATCTGAGAGACTGCAACGAAGAACAGGCAGGGGGTGCCGGGGGGAGGGGTCGGGTCGAGGGGTCCACAGGGAAAGCCATCTTACAAAGAGGGTCTTCTCCTCCAGGACTCAAGCTGGGCGTCTCCCCCACACCGAAGCCGCGCCTCACCCAGTGGGTGCGGGCCTGACCCGGCCAGCCCTGGCAGTGCGGCGGGGAGGTGCCAATCCCTCGGCCCACAGATCGAGTCCCAGCCTCAGGGTGTCCTTTTTTGAACAAGCCACAGGAGGAACTGCAGAGGAAAAAGAGCTTTTCTGTGTGCTACGAAGTAACATTTCTTGGGGAAGAGCTTCTTTCCAACAGAGAAGACACAATGGGGCTGGGGATTTAGCTCAGTGGCACAGCGCCTGCCTGGCAAGTGCAGGGTCATGAGTTCGATTCCCAGTACGGGGCGGGCGGGGACGGGGGAGCAAAGAAAAAAACAAAACAGATAAGACACAATGGGAAGATAGCCACGGAGACCGCGGCCCCCCTCCCCGGGGTGAACTCCCCGCGGTTACCGTTGCCCCTCTGGGCCCACGTGCCGAGTACACGGCGCGGGCCGCCTCCCTTGCGCTCAGCCCCGCACGCCGGCGGCGCAGCCCACAGCTGTGTCGGAGGCCAGGCCGGCGTCGCGGTCACCGGTAAACAGCGGGGAGCAGGCTGCGCGGTGGGGCTGAAAGGGCGCCCGGGGGGGTGCACGGCGCGGCCTCCGCAGCACAAGCAGAGCCCCGGCCTCAGCGCAGTGGACATGCAACCCTTGCACCTGCGCCGGACAGGCCTTCAGCCCGCGGAGCCAACCCACACCCCCGGCCCCGGCCCGCCCTTGCTCCCGCACACTGCATGTCCATTAAACAAAGTTTAGAAAATGTAAGCAAAAGTTAAATAAAAAATGCGATGAGGGCATCACTATGTGTGAAATAGTCTTGCCAAAAATAGTAATCGTGGTGCGCCTGGATCTGATCAAGCCCGGGCTCCAACCACAGAGCGCAGGAACTCTGCAGAGCGGCCTGTCCGGCTGCCGGCCCCTGCCCTCTCCTGCCAGGCTCACCAGCCGCCACGGGCTTTCCTTCCATCTTTTCTAACTTCTATTTTTACTAGTACGTGTTTGCATTACATAACCATTGCTCTCACCATGGGGACTTAGTATGTGCATACTACAACGCAGTTCCCCCACCCTTGTTTTGGTTTTGAAACAGGGTCTTGCTATGTACCCCAGGCTGGCCCCAAACTCCCAGTGATCTTCCTGCCTCAGCCTCCTGAGTGCTGGAACCTCAGGTGTGCACCACAATGCCCAGCTAACACATCCTAATTCTTTTTACTTCCCTTCCCCTGCTGCCTTTCCCCTCCCTCTTTTTTTTTTTTTTTTTTTGGTACCAGGAATTGAACTCAGGACATTGCGCTTGCCAGGCAGACGTTTGTGCCGCTGAGCTGTATCCCCGGCCCTAATTTTTTTTTTTTTTCCAGACAGGGTCTCTGTAGTCCAAGTTAGTCTTAAACTATGTAGCCCAGACTGGCCTTGAACTTGTGGTAATGCTCCTGCCTCAGCCTCCTGAGTGCTGGGATTACAGGTGTGGCCACCACAACTGGCTCCCTCATTGGTCCACTCCACCTTCAAAAAATATCTATCCCCTTACTTCCTACTATCTGTCTTTATTTTGCCTTTTTATTTATACTTTGATTTGAACCTTAACACACACTATTTTTTGAACAGCCCAAAGGCCTGGTAGTGCAATGTCATTCACCCTCTGACACTAAGTCAATGGTTTTAGTGTTTTTGTAGCTCTGGGCAATTATCACCATTATTTAATCCACATCAGTTC